CAAACAACAACCATTCAAATGCAAAACATTGATTGACCATCTACCTGATTTGACCGTGACAATGTCCACATAAAGGAACCCTGGAACCTGGCAACGCCGCAGCATTGACCAATCCCCGGCCCCGTTTGGGGGTGGCGGTCACTCCGCCCGCTTGCCGACCAGCACCAGCACCTACATCGGGATTAGGAACATTGGGTTTGGTGACGTTTTCACTGGATGGTTGCACACAAGCACTGGGCGCAGCTACATGCTTGATGGGCGCTAAAGAACCGGGCGCAAACACTTTTCGAATGGGAGGAGCGGGAGCCGATTGGGGAGGCTGAACTTGAGCTTGGGCGCTCAATCGTTGCGAGGCCTGATGCAAAGTCGCCTGGGTATCCAGTCTGGAACTCTCCTTCGACACGTGATGGGGATTGGTTATGTGGAAGGACTGGCTGTTTGGAGGATCCACAACTGGGGCGTTCACCCGGGCAAACGGGTGTTTGGTGGTGGTTGTGATCGACTTTTCGATCTGCAGGTTGTTCTCTTTGTGGCTGTGCTCGTACTCCTCTGTGACCACTTTGCGCCTCTGAACATGCGTCATCCCATCGGCAGAAACCTCAGTGGTTTGACTCTGGGTTTTATTGGAGGCGGAAAGCTGCTCCTCATGGCTCTTTTGGTGAATGCTGGTTTTAGCCACCACACCGCCCTGTTCTTTGGTGTTGGTTTCGAATCGCTCCCCATCCTGTTGCACTTGCAACAGCTGCTGCACCTGCTGCACATTGCCAGTCCTCACCCCAAATTCCCCGTCGGCTGGATATGCCACATTTTGGCTCACATGGCCGTTTCTCTGGGAAATCTCCACTCCGTGTTGCTGCTCTACCAAGTCGCGCTTGCTCTTGTACTCCGGGAGGTAGGACTGTAGGCTTTCCTTCGCCTGCCTAATGCGTGAGTCCTGCGGAGTGGGCAGTGGTTTAGAGGAGTGCAGCGGATTAGGAGGGGGGCCTTCAGCGGGCGACTTGCTGCGCTCCTGCATGCCTCCCGGGAAAGGAGAAGGGCTGCGGCTGCGCACCGCCTCTTTACCTGGGTGGGGGCTAGGGGATCGCGATATTTCCGGATGCGCCGGGTCGAAAACGTTGGTTTCCAAGGCAGACTGGAAGTGGGGCACCAGATTGTCCTGGTAGTAGGGAAGCAGGGGCGGGGCCTTGCTGATCATACTAGGTGTAATTGATCGGGGGCGTGGAGAAATCCCTCTCGAAGAACTGTCCAAACCCGCATTAAACTGAGCGGCTGGCGCGCTCTGGTGGTCACCACTCCCTTCACTAGGCTCAATGGTGATAATGGGCTTGGTTGCCGCCTGCCTCCTTTGCTCCTCAATTCGTTCCTCTGCCCGCCTCTTTCGCTCCATAAGAATCAAATCTGCCTCGGCGGTTGCCTGCAAGTCCTTCTGGTATCCAGGCAAGGACTGTGGCTTGTGAAGCATCGCGTTCACCTGCGCCGGCTTCACCTGGATCACCTCTTCTGCCTGCCTCTGGATGGTCTCCTTCCGCTGAACCACTTGCTCCACGTGCTTGCTCTTCTGATCCCTCTTTTCCTGGATGATGGTCTCGCGTCTGATGCAAGCAGGCTTTTCCTCTACAGTGGCAATGTACGAAATGGGCGTTTGAGGCTTGGGCGGAGGCGTGGGCACTGGGGGAGTGGTGGAGACTTCAACGGAAAACTGAGAGTGATCAGTTTTGTTCTTGAACGAGCAGGTGAAACCTTGGAAGATCGGAGCGAAGCTCGTGGCTGATTCGTGCGCAACTTCCTGAGCCACCACCTGATGAGTAACCTGAGCCGGCTGGATGGTCTCCTTTTCCACAACCATCCGCTCAGAGGCCGCGGAACTTTCCTGAATACTAGATTGAATCCTTTCCTCTAACACAGCCGGGGCGTAGTAGCTGGGCGGCTTGGGCTCTTGCGCATTCATCCGAAAGGAGGCTGGGAGCTCTTCGGGCTTCACATGTTTCTCCAGCTGCGCCTTCTTGGGTTGAGGGCTACTCTCCTGCTCCCCTATAAGAGGCGTGTAGGGCCGCTCAGGAGCAGTGGTGAGCGCCGTGCGCATATCCAGCCGCTCATTTGCCTTCGGCAGCTCATCCAGTAGCTGATCCAGAGGGTCTTTGGGTTTCTTTTTCACTGGAGGTAGTGGCGTCTTTTCGCCTCCTCCAACTGGTGTAAAGGGCCGATCGGGGGCGATTTCCAGGGCCTTCACAAAGGGGCTGTAGGGTTTTGGTATTGGGCCCCGTTTCTTTTCCTCCTTTTTCTCCGCCTCATCTACCTTGGCGGGGATGATTGGGTGCTCGGGAGGAAAGTAGGGCTCGGTTTCCTCTGGCAGAGGCACTGGATCCAAATTGGAGTGTGGTAAAGGTGTAAAAGGCTGAGCGGGAGCAATGGATAGGGCCGAAGCCATGGGACTTGCAGAAGTCCTGGAGGGGATTCTGCAGAAAGTGTCTGAGTCTGGGGCTGTGGTGCGCACAGCCTGAGTTAGGGAGGACTCCCATTTTTGAGGGACAGCGTTTTCCACTTTGGGCTGGAGCTGGCTTTCCACAGTATTCGGCTGATACTCCGTGGGTCTTTTGAGGTCGCAAAACTCCTTGTTCTGGCAACAATCGGAGGAAGCAAAGTGGGGAGTAGCTTTTAGCGCAGTCTCGATCATCTTCTGAGTGTCAAGCGTTTCGGACAAAATCTCCACACATTCGGCCGCACTTCTGCGCCCAGTAAACGACATTTCCTCTGAGTAGAACGACATGGTCTCATCCAGATTGTCTTCGGCAAAATAGTCACTCTCGAACTGAGTTTTCCGCTTATCGGCGAGTTTCTTCTCAAGTTCAGCCTCCACTCTGGAAGGCGGCGGATAAAAGAGCGGGCAAGCGGTTGCAAGCTCTGAGTCTTGCGGTGGCGGCCAAATTATATTGGTGGTGCGACCTTATTTAGCAAACAGCACACGCCAACGGGGTTAGACAAAGGTGAAACAATAAAGGCGAAAAAGAAGAGAAAAAACGGTTAGCGAAATGTTATAAAATAGTATAACTCTATGCTGGCGACTTCTTTTCTCGGATGTCGGTCTTAAGACTAAGTGAAGGTAGAAGCGAAAATGTTAAATTTTTGGTTGATTGTAAGCGACTTCCGGAAAAAGCAGTTTTACTCTGATACTAAGGAAAACGGCCGAGGTTTGGAACAGAAAGACCAATCTGTAATAGAAAAGAAACATTCACATTGGGCCTGGAAAGAGCAGGATTTTGCTATACTATTTTAGAACTCTGAAAACTTTCCTTTGTCGCTATGACTGGACTTGAAGTGGTTTCAGCAGGGATTAATTGAGGGTCTAGAGAGTTTTACAATCAAATTTCTCTCCCTCGAATTATTTGGAAAATACCAACTTGGTCGGAAATCTGCCTGTATTTTTTTACTTTCACTCCGCTCGAAAAAACATTAAACTTTTTGGAGTTACGAATTAAAATTCATAATTTTTCAAAGTTTACTAATTTGTTGCTTTCCCCAATTACTTTTGTTTTAACTCCCATTTGTCCACTCCATTATCAAAAACATTTTTGGCGAAGGAAAAGTTTCAAAGCAATGAAAAAAACCAAAAATGAAAAAATAAATAAACATGAAGCCGAGTAATGAGGAAAAGTGCTGCGGCATGACATTGGTACCTCTAAACAGTGCACCCGCAGAGTTCAATGCCGGAGCTCGTCCTACGAAAGTACAACAAGAGTACAGTACGACTAAAGACATTTACAGGGAGAACATGGAAAAACAAACATCAGAGAGGAATCAGCAGAAAATTTCCCGCACTTTACATTAATGATTAACTTAATAGTAATGCCTGCCTAACGCTTACCAGAGGGTGCTGGACTGTAGGGGCTCTTGGAATGACCAATGGGAGGAGACAAGGGCGCCTTGTTGAAGTTGCTGGCAGGCGATAAGGGGGCGCCCCTATTCAAAGCGCCTCCAGGTGAAAGAGGCGCGCTGACGCTCGAGAAGGGCTTGGGGCCTCCAAAGGTCGAGGGCTGCGAATTGAGGCCATTCATGAAATTCCGCAGGAAAGTTAAAAGAAGCACCTAAACATCTACTCACCTTGTTAATAAATTTGCTAAACGATACAGGCGCAGACGGGTTATAGAGAGAACTGTTACTAGATGATTTAGGATTAGAATCGTGAGTTTGGTTTGGTGTTTGAGGCGCGACATCACCAACAACCGATCCTAAATCCGGTCGCTCTTGGGGCGGCTGAAAGAGTTAAGGGTAAGTTCGGGTGCAGCATGCAAGACGACAACCAGTGCATGGAGGTTACAAGTGTTAAACTAGTCGCTAGATGAACCATCAGAACATCAAGCTGGGCGAACTGAACTTACCGGATAGGATGGGGCAAAGCTAGGGGTTTTGGGCGAAAGTGGCGATGGGGATGGCAACGAATGACCAGACAAAGCCGAAGAGATTGCGCTCACTGGGGCTTTCACGCCTCTGAAACAACGCACATGTATTAGCCTGCAAAGGAGCCAATTTGGATAACCTACGCAGGAATAATTGGAACAGCTGCAGGATTGTTGATGGCAATCGCAGCAGACTTTGCGTGAATGTCGCAGTAGAGCTTGTTGTTGATGTTGTAGTAGCTGTAAAAGATTGGGTGGTTTGCGGCGCAAAAACGGTTTCCTCTTGGCTTACCCGACGTTCTTCAAAGAAGATCCGCAAGTGGCACACTTGAAGCACTCGACGTGAAGATTCTTGTCTTTGATGCGCACAAAGACGCCTCTGGAATGGGGAAGAATTAGTGACGGAAAAGTTGCTGTTGAATGAAAACATATAACGAATAATTTGGTTCCTGGAGGAGATCGAGAAACTCGAAAAAGAATGTTGGAAATTGTGCAAGAAGCGATTTTTGATTGCGGTATTTTGGAACTAGATAACTTCTGATTGGAGCAAGCGATTTAATTTCTGTTTAAAGCCCTGTTTAGTTCAACTTTTTTTCTCCAACTGAGTGTTTTTGCAAAAATTAATAGGTTCAGCTAAAGTTTCTACAGTTGCGAGTTAAACAAATCGGCGTTTTTCTGGATTTCCACCGCACAGTGATAAAGTCTGGCCCCAAATCTCAAAAGGGTTATTGAATTTTTCACCTATCCCTTCTATTTACAGGGTGGACCAAAAAAAACTTTTCGGTCTTTCACAGTTCAATTTGGTCTTTGACAGTTCAACAGTTCTAATATTTTCCTTCTTGGACGAATTTTCAAAATCTAGCACTTATGTTGAAGCCAAAACTTCATACTTGACTTCAGGAAAAATTTGGTATAAAGGGTTGCATTAAAAGTGTCAGTAAATCTGAATATCTGGCGGACTTTTTATTAAACTTGAGTTTGCTTTGCTTGCTTGAGACCAAAAAGTTATATTGTTTTGAATCACCCTGTAAAAACAAGATAGGAAAAATGCGAAAACCATTCCGAGATATGAGTTTCATTTTTATGGCTTTGTGTGTTGAAATCACAAAAAAAGAAAGAAAAATTTTTTTTTTCAAAAAAAAATACTAGATTTTCATATAGTTCGCATTGTTTCATTCTCCACCGTGTAGACACTTTATTTGAGTCGCTTCAAAGAGAACTGAAATCTCCCGAACCAATCAGAACCTAACCAGTTTCAAAATTAGGGCAAACTTGTCCGTGTAACATTTTTTTTGTTCAGCCATAATTTCCAAAAAACTTTTTTTACTTGCCAGATCGTTGTCCTACGAAAAAATTGAAAGAGAGCGTTTTTCTTCCAAATTGAACGAATAATCGGAAACTGAGTTTTAATTTGCAGAAAAACAGTGGCTTGCTGGTTGTTTCCTCAAAAAATCCACCTACGCCACTGGTAAAACTGAAAATATAATTCTGTATTGAATTGGCAAAAAACGCCAAAAGAATTTCGTTCACATTTCGTCCGCTGTTTGCCGGAAGTAAATAAATTTCGAGTGTGAAATTCGAAATGTGAAATTTGCCTTCAAAATATCCATCACAACAAATGTTTTGCAAAAAAATTCTTTGGCCGTCATCCATATGAGCAAACGGTTAAGTTTTAAGAGACTTACTAGTGCTTTTATCAGACACCCTGTACACTTTGTATCTTTTGTCTATGTTTAACCGTTTAGACGCAGTCAAACTACTGCATCGTAACGGACACTCTGTACAGAAAAATCGTCAATTTTTCGAGCATCCTCCGCATGAATTCCAGCTACTTCTTTAATAAAATATATTTTTATGGAAAAAGAGTCAAGTTAAATTAATAAACGCTTATCTTTGAAACACTCACTCCCCAGCACTAAGAGCTTTCGCAAAGAACAGACATTCACATAAGACAGACTACTGAAACATGCACGAACATGCGAAAAATAGGTCAACTACAGAAGAACGATCATGCTCTGACCTACAGAAGAAAAAGTAAAAAAAAAGTGTACAAAACCAGACGAGAAACATTGATCCAACACGAGTGTTGGACTTACATAATGACCCTTTCGCAATCAGTGCAAATTGTCGCGCTCTCAGAAACGGGCTCTTGTTGCGAAACCAGGCGCTCAGAAGCCACTTGCGACGGACTCTTTGCTGAGCCGATAGCGTGACTGTGAGTAGCGTAGTATTCGGACCGCGTTACTGAAGCAGAAGAAAAAACTAGTTTCCATCAAACTTCCCTCACTGAACTCTCGTTAACCCTTCTGAGGCGGTTCGGTTGCTGGCGTTGATCTGAGCGAGCTGAAACTGGTACTTACACGATCAGCCGCTCGCAATCGGCGCAAACATTTTGGCCGGGCGGCAACTGGGGGTTGGATGGGGCTGCTTTAGTTTGGGGCGCCTCCACATGCCTCAATCCTGCCATTCCTCTATTGGGGGCTGTTAGTATTCCTGAATCTGGCTCTAAGCAGTCATTAGATATTAAACCAATCGAAAGATTCATATTGGTTCCCTGTACCAAACTAGTGTGGTTTTTTGTGTTTTTTTTGGGCTTTTAGGCTGCAGTGGAAAACAATTTTATGCAGACGTTTAGCTAGCACGAAGCTTCAGAAGTGTGTTCGATTTAGGTGACGCAGACGAATTTTTTCAGCGTTCAAAAAATCATATTTTTGAGTCGGACTGAAATTGAACTTTCAAATTTTAACAGGAACAAGCAGGTATATTTGCGCAACAATTGAGTACAACAGATTTAAGAATGCTACTTTAGAGGAAGGAAAATTGGAGCTCAAAGTGTGCAGGAAAGCGCGCAAAATGCACAGGAATAGATTAAAATTGTTGAAAATTCATAACAACTCCAGATAGTCTAGACATTTTAGCGCAATTTTCTGCAAAGCATTCTCTATAGATTCAGCAAATTTGGATTAAATAGAGGTTGAGCTGATTTTTTGCGAAAGGTTCAAATCGCGACTTCAACTTCGCGCTTTAATGGATTTGTTTCGTGGCTATAAAAAATCGCACTTTTGCACCGGATTTAAACAGAAAATTGAGCTTTTAGCCCAAAAGAGAGCGCGTTTCAACCCGTCAGCCCATTCGAAGAAAATTTCCCAAAAATGCATACTTTTTTGTGAAAAATGAGCCCTTGCGCGCAAGTTGTCAGACATGGGCAATTTTTGTTAATGCGTAACCATTGAAAATAGAGCCTCCAAGTTTTGCCTCAATTTTGCTCAAAGTCCTGTTTATAACTACACTAAATATGGGTTGAGATGATTTTTTTGAAAAAAAATCAAAATTTTCCTCAAAATTGGCGCTTTACACGCAATTTGGTTTGAAGTTCAAAAAAATTCTTATTTTTGCATTCAGTTAGGAATATGGGTTCAACAGTTGAGTATAAATTACTTTCTTTACAGAAAAAATCGCTATTTTAGCTTAAAGCAAGCAAAATTATAACGAAAACTGTACAGGAAAGCGCTCAAGTTGCACAAGAATGGATAAAAAAAAATGGCAAAATCCGTAACGACCCAAGATAGAGCCTACAAATTTTAGCTCAATTTGCTCAAAGCCTCTATAAATTTAGCAAATTTGGCTTAAATAGAAGTTGAGCTAATTTTTTGAGAAAGGTTCCATTCCAGACTTTAATTTGCATAATTGCATTTTTGCACCGGATTGAAACAAAAAATTGAACTTTTGACCCAAAATAGAACTAATTTCGACCTATCAGTTCATAAGGAACGAATTTCAATAGAATAAAAATGTATATTTTGCTGGAAAATGAACGGTAGCGCGCAAGTAGATTTTGGTCAAAAAATTAAAATACGTAATTTTTCAGAAAACAGCCTCGAAAATTTTCCTTAATTTGACACAAAGTACTCTATTTACTATTTATTGAATTACACTTAATATGGGTGAAATACAGCTGACTTTTTGAGAACATTTCAAAATATCCCTTAAATTTGGGAGCTTTCGGCGCAATTTCGATTGTAGTTTTCAATAATTCACATTTTTGCTTTGAGATGAAATTGCACGTTCAAAGTCTGGCTTAATTTGGTTCAAACTTCTCTTTATAGTCAGAGCAAATTTCTCTCAAATAGAGCCTGGGCTGCATTTTTGAGAAAGCTTCAAATTGTGCGTTAACTTTAGCGAATTCCGAGCTGATAGACGAACCAACCGGTTTTTCCAAAAAAAATCGCCTCATTCGGAAAATTGAAAATTAGAACGCGACGTTGTTGCGTAAAACGTGTGCATGAAACTGGCTTTCGACACGCCCAATAAATTGGACTCTTTTATTCGATTCCATAGCTTCATTATTCGATTTTTGGAAGCTCAAAGTTGAGGCAAAATATTGCTTGCAAAGTGCTTCAGGAATTTGGAGATGCAGCAAATTTGTCTTCAAAAGTGTCTTAAATTGGGCGCTTTTGAACCTCCCAAGATACGATCTACTCGTGCGTGCAAAACATCAGGAACGACTTTTTTTCCACCACGACCTAAACACCCAAAAAAGTCCCCAGCTTCTTTCTTGATTTCATTGGCAAATAAAATTTTTCCACATAAACCCAGCTAAATATAAAACCCCAAACTAACGACACTTAGGCGCATTAATTACCTGGTTCATTTGATGGAGCATCATTTTCAGCTTCCTTGAGCATGCGATAAACCGCGCTGTTGGTAGCATCGTAGTCTTTTTCGTTTTTCTTGAAGTTAACACTGAAAAATTACACATTTTCAGCAAGTCAAACCGCAAAAAATCCTGCTTTAGACCGGAGCCACTCACTTCATTTTGCTCTTCAGCCCAAAAGGTTTGCTTGAAGTGAATTTGAATGTTTACGAAAAAATGCATGTTCCACAGCTTTAAAATACATTAGAACTGGGTATTTATAGCCTATTGGCAAGCGAGCTGGCGCAACGATGGGATTTGGCGTTTAGTTCCTGTTTACGATATATTTTTGGGAAATAACGCGTAAACCATCACTCATTATCTACTGTAAAACAGTTTCAAGCAAATAAATAGCTCGCGGTTTTAGGTTCCAAAGCATAACGGGCGTGGAGCGAGTTCTTTCGAAAAAGCAAACTCCTCTCAAAAACTGGTTTGGGTGTCCAGCTCTAAATAAAAAAAATCCCCCAGTTCCGTCCCAGTCAATGAGGCTAATTAACCCAGCAGGAAAGGCTTAATTAAAAACCCCACTGAAACAAACAAACCGACTTGGCAAAGTGTTAAATTGGCGGTCAGAGGCAGCAAAACAATATAAGGTGTCATCACTGGCCAGCGCCCAACAAATCCTGGCGTTAACCGCCGGTTAAATCATAAATTGCTCCCAAAAAGCCACTAGTTTTATTAATAGTTGCTCACACAAAGTCTTGAGTTTAAGGGCAAATCGGGCGGAAAATGTAAATGCTTACCCTAAAGCTCCGGTGGATAAAACTTCACTCTGCGCCGAAATAGTCTCAGCAATCGCGTCTTCGGAGTAGAGCTTCAAGGGGCTGTTGTACTGTTTGTTTACCAGTTTAGGGGGCGCTCCGTTTACAGCACCATTTACCTGCAACAATAAAACACATTTTTAATATTTCCATAAAGTTAAAAAGTTTATGTGGTCCTTCGAGCCGGATGGAGTTAAGCTGAAGGAATATGCAGCAAATTTCAAGTTACTCATCTTGATGGTAAAAAATCGTTTAAAATAGAAAGTTCTTTATAAGAACTGCAAAGAGAGTGAGTATGGCGCATTGAACTTGGTTGAAATGTTGGGAAACTTTGAAAAGGGGAAAATATTGGGGATCGGTTTGTTGTGGTCCTCAGAAAAACTTCTGAGTCAATTACCCTCTGGCAAGGGTAATTGACTCAGAAGTTTTTCTGAGGACCACAACAAACCGATCCCCAATATTTTCCCCTTTTCAAAGTTTCCCAACATTTCAGTCAAGACTTCGGTGGAAAGCTTTGGGTCACCCTGTATACCCATCGTTAGCTATAAAGTGTACATTTCGAAGGTTTTTCCAATTAAATCGACTTATTATAATTAATAAACAGAACATCGCCTGAAATGTAAAACAAATCAAAGTCCAGCAATGCACTTGGCTTTGGGTTTGTGCAGCAAATTTTCCATCCGTCCATTGCGACTATTTCGAGTCCTTGTCATGATTAATAAAAAAATGCCTCAAATGGTCGATTAATTGTTGCAATTTTATCAATTAAAGCCAGCCTGGCCTACATATTAATAATACTGCTCCGAAAGAGATCAAGTCCAAGTTGTTGATTTTGATTTATTTGTTAACTTCGCGACCGATCCAATTGGAATTTGTTATTGAATTACTGCCAAAAACTGCTGCTCCGAAACAATAAACACCATTTTATTAATGTGGGCTGTGTGGCGCAACTCGCACTTGTTTTATGCAATTGTTTCAATTTGGGTTAGTTTGGATTAGGTTTGGATGGTGCAAGAACTGGCGATTTTCCTAAATTGCTGCAAACATTTCTAGGAGGAAATTGACCTTTTTGCCTATTTCAACCGCATTCAGTGCTAGAATTTGTTCACGGTTTTTTGCCCTGAAGATGTTGCTGGCAAAGCGCCAAATTGTACGATTTTCTGAAAAAAAAAACACATTTTTGCCTTTATCTCATAGTCGTTGGGTTGGGAACATGATTTTTTCCCAATTGCTACAGACTTTGAAAGCAATATGTTCACTGAACATATTAGTGTTTCCAAAACTGGAATAATGACTTCATAAAACTCAATTTTTTGAAAACGTCGCGCTCTAAGTTCCAGTTTTTTGAAGAGGATTTTTTTTAATCCAGTTTATTGGGATGTTAGCCCGAGATAGAGCCCATATTGGAGCGAAATTTAATTGCTCAATTTCAATTCAAAGTTCGGCAAAACGTGCATGTGAGAGCTCATTTTTGCGCTGAATTTAAGACACAATTTGGAGCTTTCTCAAAAATTCAGCCCACTATCAATTTAAGCCAAATTTGCAGTGATTATAAAGATAATTTTGCGCTACCAAGAGGCAAAACTTGGAGGATTGGCCTTCGGTTGTTGCGGATTTTTTCAATGTATACGGCAATCTCTATACAGTTAGTGCACTTTTCTGAACACTTTGCGCTCTACCGTTTATTTTATAAAGGCAAAGAAGCGTTCGTGAGTCAATTTAATGGAACATGTGGGCCAAGATTCTCGCTAGTTTAAGGCAAAATTTTAAAGCTCAATTTGATTGCAATGCGAAAATGCTATTTTTTTAAATCCGCAGAACAAATTCAGGAAATCGTTAAATTTAAGGCACATTTTGAACTTTTTTCTAAGGTTAAATCCACCTCCTATTTAACCCAAATATGGAGCATTTGCACACATTACTTCGCTCTAAATTGCGCCAAAAGTTAGAGTTAGAAGAATTTTTTTTTGGCAACTCCTGTTCAATTTGCGCTCTAAGAAGCATTTACCAATAACGAGGCTGCATTTATATAAGAATTCATATGAGAATCACTTTTAGTGCAGTGTGAGGCTTTATTCGTTCTATTTTGGCCAAATATTTTTTGCTGAATTTCAACCCGATGAAAAAATATAATTTTGAACTTTCCTCAAAAATTCACCTTAACATCTATTTAACCCAAACCTTCTGCATATATTAGGACTTTGCAAAATTTACTTAAAACTTAGAAGATCAATCTTCAGTCGTTATAAATTTTTGTAATTTTTTTGTAAATTTCTGTACAACTTGTGATATTTCTGTACGCTTTGTGCCCTAACACTTTGCTTTGTATAATCAACAATCTGCTGCTTCTAGAACGAGCACTTTGAGCAAATTTTACTCAACATTTAAAGCCCCATTTCCGACTGTTAATATTTTTCGTTTTTTTTTTGTCAAATCCTCTACAACTTGAGCTCTTTCCATTCTTTTTGCGCTCTGATATTTATATTCTAAGACCAAAGTGGCATTTTTGAACAACATCAATCAACGTTTGTGCCAAAAACTATTTGAACATCGGAGAACAAATTCAAAAAAACGCTAAATTGAAGGCAACTTTTCTGCTCAACTATTTAACCCAAATTTGCTGTTTATATAAAGAGGACTTTACGTAAAATTGCGCGAAAACTTCGAGGATCTCTTTTTGTTACAAAAGGCGTATTTTGTTCTCAATTTCCGTGCAATTTTCGCTCTCAGTTGCATTTTCCGGCAACAAGGCTGTAGTTTGATGAAATCATATTTTAGTGCTCTTAGGACGAAAACTCGCTCTTTTTACGTTAAAATTGAATGACTTGATAGTCACTTTTAAGCCAATGCAAAATGTGATTTTTTTCAGCTACAAAACAAGTCAGTAAAACACACAACAACACAAAAGTTCATTCCAACACCTATTTAAGCCAAAGTTATCATATTTATTAAGAAGATTTTGTAGGAAATTAGACCGAATTTTGTGGGCTCTTTCTCTACTTATTACGAATTTAATTTGCAATTTTTGCTCAACTTTTGAGTCAAGAATCCTTCTAGAATAGGCGAAAACTTCAACGCTCAATTTCAACTGAAGCAAAACTGTACGAGTTCCAAATCGCCAGAAAAAAATCAGTCAAACGCCAAATTCAAGCCGAAAATTTAGCACAAAAAATCTATTTGTTCGCTGCTTTTATAAGATGGGGTTTTTGCAAAAATAATTTTGAAAATGTTTGCTAGAAAGAAAGGTTCAAAGTTTTCTCTGTTTACAGGCAGTTTATTATATAATTCGTTGCTTTAAATGGTGGTGAAACTATATAAAACATATGAGACATAAAAATGACTTTGTCTTTACTCTTAAACGTGGTGGCGTCAAGCCCTCAACAGTCGACAACTTTGACTCCCGATTGAGCCTCAAAATCCAGATAGACTGGAAAGATTGCTGCGGATTTTGCACAAGTGAACTCAAGTCAAAATATAAAATCAGCTTTTTCTACTGGAGGGAATTTGCTAAACCAAAATCTCCAGCTCAAGAGCCAGGATTTCAACAAGGAAAAGTGGACGTTAAGAGGAAAAGGGCACAAAAACGGACAACTTACTTGTGGACTAAACGGCTTAGCAGCCAAATTATGTCCGGTTCCAATAGCGCCAATGTTCTCACCCTTTTGTGCGGCCAGCGAAGTCTTCGTCACCGGACTCACGTTGTTGATGGACGGCGATGGCTTTGAGTACGTTCCCGTTGGGATAACTGACGGCTTCCACGTTGAGCCGCCTCTAAAATAGAATTATTGTCCGTATTTATACTATGGAATCGGTCCATCGGGCAATCGACCAATTATGAAGATCAAGGCCGTCATCTCGAACTTTTCACTTCGGAATACCAACAGTTGAGGCCAATTAATAGGTGCCTACCTTTGAATCACCATCTCGAAGCTGGATCCGGCTCTTACTATGACGTCCTGGGCTTCTTTGTGCAGTAGATTGTAGACGTCGACGTTGTTGATTTTGATGACGGCATCGCCAGCTATCAAGCCAGCTCTTTCAGCTGGAGAACCACCATTTACCTACCGATTTTAAGGGGGGATTTCAAAAAAAAATTACCAGAAAGGATTGGACGATGCATGCAAAGTGGCTCATTTTCGTCTAAAGGAGCGTGTTTTTTACTGATTTTTATATCAAGATTTGAGAAGTTATGAAAGGTCTAGAAAGGCTTTTATGTCTGCAATGTAAAAATGTTCCTCTGCGCGTATCCACGGGCCATTTGAGTGAGCGTCTTTTATAATCTCTAAAAGTTCCATTGCGAGGTCGAAAAATTTGGCAACTTTAAAAATTGGGGAGAAAAGAACCGGGTTGAATTTAGAAGTTTTAAAAATCGCGTCACTTTAAGTCGATCAGGTGGAATCCCGAACGCAATCGGTGGAAACATTGAGAGTTTCACAACCTTCTCTCCAAAACTAGAGAAGAATGTTCTCATAAACCATTAAAACGAAGCTTCACTTCAAAAGTTTGTGAGCTAGTTGCTGCGCCGAGTAAACCATTTCTGAAGATGCAAGCCACTGGTGCTTGCGAAACGTCAGCGAGAAAAAGTCTGACCTTTCCCACACGCAGTTTTCAATAAAAAAAGTCGCTGAATCTTAAACGCATTTAGACTTTACTACCGGGACCATCCTTCACTCTATCTGCAGCAGATAACCGCTTGAGTTTTCAGGTCTTTTATACCGGCGTGGAAAACAACGTCTCCCCAACGTTTCGCAGGCACAAAAGGCCTGCATCTTCAGTAATAGTTGCTGCGCCAGCCAACCCATCTGCTTCCACCCTCTCAAATCAATCCCCATTTCGCCATCTATTTTATTAATCAGCAAATTCAACTTCTACTGCATTTGGGTACGCAGCCGCCGCTTCTCTTCCAGTTGCCTCCTCAGTGCCAACAACTCCGGACTGTCGAAAGGCTTCGGCTGGTTCACCACTGAACGTTTTGGCTGCATTGTGCGGCTTTCTTCGATCAGTTTCTTCACGTTCTCCACCATAATCTGATGGGCCCTTTTCTTCTGCAGGATGGCCTGCCTCTTCTCCTCCAACTCCTGCTTCATGTTCATCTTGGTGATGGCGAGGCGCTCTTGCAACTCGGCAATGGACATTTCGCATAGCAGGCCCAGATTGGGAGTTTCCGTCGGATCGAACTCCTTAATGTTGCATCGCACCTGCTGGATGGCTTTGATGTCGGCTATTAATTCGATCTTGCGCGCCAGTTCTTTGTTTTTTTCAACCAGCGCTTGTTCGAGAAGCTGCTTGGTTTCAGTCTGTTGCGCCCTGACGCTCTCCTGCCGTTTTTCCAGTAGTTTCTTCTCACTTTCTTTGGCGTTTTGCTTGATTGCTTGGGACTTTTCAACTAGCGCACGGACTTTCTGCTCTTCCGCTTCGCGCCACTGCTCCAGAGCTCGGAGAAGGGCTTCCTTGTCTTCTTTGAACTTCCATTTCTTCTCCTTAATGGCCTCGGCTAGCCTGGCTTTAGCCAGGAGGGCTTCTTCGTGCGACAGCAGCCCCTTTAGGTGGTTCCTCTCAATGGCCTCCAGCTGCTTCTGAGCGTTTTCTTGCTTCAGTTGCTCCTCCAGCTGCTCAACCGCCTCGGTATTGCAACCTCCCTTAATCAGCTCCTCCAGTTTCCTCATCTCCTCCTCCTGCACCTTCACAACCCTTGAGGCCTCCCGAAGGGTTGTAGTTAAGTTGCCCCTAATTGCCACATCCTTAAAAGCTGGAGGACTGCTGGACTTGAAAAGATTGCTGTGGGAACTGATGGGTTGGCTGATGGTCGCCTTAGGATTGGCCAGTCTGGCCGGCACCTGCGATGCCTCCTGCAGCAACTGTTGGGCTTTCCTCCTATTTTCCTGCTGGCACTTGAGGAGTTTGTTCGTAGTAGATTTGCATCTACTCCAAGTGGAGTCTGGCACTTTGGACGCCTTGAACCGCCAGCGTATTGCTGGTGTATTGGCAGGAGCATGCGGATGCTTCCTGTAGAGGTCTTTGAGAAACTGGAACCCCTTGGGTTTGGTCGGAGGAGGCGATATGATCTGATGGTGCCTAAAAAACTCCCTGCCCAGCTGGATGATGGTGGGCAATTTATTGAGGAACGGATCAACGATCTTCTCCAACACGTAGGCATCTTCGAAATACTTGCAGGCGGTTTGGCAGATGAACAAATGCTCATTGGAAGCCGCCAAGCCTGCGATCAAATCACACAAGTAGAAGCTATTGATTTTGACACAAAACTCGAAGATTTCTTCCAGATTCCCTTCGCCCAGCTGGAAGAGGAGCAGATAGAGGATCACCTGAACATTGCAGGAGTTTGCCAAGGGGTTGTTAACAAAATGCGCAGAAAGCTCTTCAAGGAGCCGCTGATGTTTGGCCAGTTCCAGGAACATCAGCGCTTCTGAGTCGGATAATCGAGCATCTTCAATAAACTCAGAGGGAGCCAAATGGTGGTTTGGTTTGTATCGTTTGTATAGCTGGAACAGGGTTTTTAGGGTTTTTCGGTTCAAATCCATTTGGCAGAATGATGTTTATTGACGTTTGGAGGGGTTGAAAGTACCAGTTGAGATGGACATATTTTGAAATATAATGGTGCGTTCAGACCTAACGAGTCGAACCCGAGCCTGAGCCGCGGCAAAAGTTCTTTGATGTTTCGTCAAAACACCGATAGACCATCGATTTTCTAGTAACTATGATAATACACAGAGTGATTAATTTAAATTTAGATACTTGAAAGTTTTGAATGTTTTTGAAGAAATTGTAAACCCAAAACAACTAATCATGAGATTTTTTATTACTTTGACTATGTTTCTGATGCGGTTGTTACGTCACATTTTGTTAAGTTCTATTATTTTTTTATTATTGGCTTCTCCTGAGGCAACTTTTTTTTGTTAGAAATAGATAAAAAGCGCATAAAACCGGTATTTTTAGCTTTAGAAACTGGTTTTATCTGAAAAACTAAGTAATTAACACGCCGTTTTCACGCGTGGTTGTAAGCACAAATGTACACAAACCGCTGTCATATTTATTTACAATTAATGACAGTGACATTAGGGCAGAATTAACAACTGATAAAGTGCAAAAATGTCACCAACCGTAATAAGCTGAAATTTTTCAATCAAGTCAACATGCGGTTTTTACTTAGTTCGACTATGTTCCTGTAGCGTTTATTAGCAAATATTTGCAATATAATCCATAACATGCTCATTTGCAACTAGACTATCGGAATCATGCCTAATAAGTTAAATAATGACTAAAGTATGACGTAGCTCATGAGTGTCGCAGTTTTATCGAAGAAAGCTATTGCATTTCCGATGAAATCATCGGGGTTTTGAATATTTCTTCTATATCAGTTGTGTGCCATCAAAAAGCTGTTAATTCTGTTTGTAAATTAAAACATTTTCATTCCATACGGCTACAAATCAAATAAGAAAACTCGCTGTTGCGTAAATAATAACAAGAACTTAGATAATGATGAGAATCGCATGATTATAGATGATTTTCCTCATTATTTTTTTCTGGCCTTGACTACTGATTTTTACCCATGCAATTTGATTAATTGAAGTAAACTTCCGTGTTATGGAATTTAAATGCCGCAATAAGTTTCCAAGCTTTTTAGCGCAAATTTTGTTCACTTGTTTCTAGGCCTTTTGAGTGCGGTAAAAACAACTCGATTAACCAAAGCCAAAACATCGCAATTTCGGCAATTACAAACAGCAGCAGTTGTTTATTTGAAAAAAAATCACTTATTCGAGTGAACATTGACCAGATATGGCGTTAACTACTGACCTTATGTTTTACGACTCTTCAACGGATCATCGTTGACTTTGATCTCGTTTGCCCGCCAATGATACTAAACAGTTTCCGTTTATGGGCCATGATGGTGATTAAATTGTGTTTTACCTTCTTGGCGGTTTTAGTTCTTATTCTTGCAGACATTGACATAATAATTAAGAATCTAATTATCAAGAGTTGCGGTCAAGTTTCAACGTGCGTCTGAAAACGGTTGGCGATACTACTAACCGAAACGTTGTGATGAAAACAATGGAAGTCCGAATAAGGCCATTCGGCCCCTACGGGGTCTAGCCTTTTTAAACAAAGAAAAGAGGCGGATTTTTATTAATAATTATTTAAGAAGTTTTTTTTACACTTGCAAATTTTCTTTTGGTAAAGTGTATTTGTGATTTATTCAAATACCGGTAATAATGAGGCGAGGAGAAATGCAGCCATGACCAAGAAACAATTGGTACCACGGCCCACTTTTTTCTGCTGATGAGATTTTGGTAAGCTGATCAATAAATCACAGTTGCTTTGGCTTTCGATCGAGCCAACGTTCTTTTTTCACGCAACCTAATAGAAACGAATCAAGCGGTGACAAATCCGGAGTATTTGCCGGCTTTGTACCCACCCTTGCTTTCTAAATCGACAATGGATTGTGTTATGCTGTTAATTTCAAGATTCAAAAAGTGGTTGGTTCTTTCAAAGCATTTGATACAAAAACTGTCCATTTTTTCTCATTTTTTATGAGCAAATATGCCTGAAAATTAGCCATTCTGTTTATGTGTCTGATTCGGCGAAAAAGTAAAAGATCTGCCCTCGGTTAGTCATTTTTCGTTGTGTATTTAGATAACTAAAATGCATGACAAATATGTTTCACTAAGCTCATATCGGCGATAAAGCAGTTGAAATGGTAATTGGAGAATTAAAGCCATTTATTTTCTGTAAAGATAAGCCGACCAAAGTGCACTTATATGGACTTATTTCGCTAACTTCGCCACCAAGTCGACGCAATGCTGAAAAGAGGAACAATTACATTTACATACATACAGCATGACCAAATAAAGCCGCTGATTTGAGACTTGCAGATGAGAAATATCAAGAAACTTGATTAAAATCTCCCAAAAGTTATAGAAGTTTACAAAGTGAAGACCAGCGAACCTTGAGCAAGGGAACAAGGAATGGAATGTTACAAATTTATAACAATCAAGTGAAAAAATCAAACAAACCAAGAAAAACTGCTGAACTTCACAATAAATAATATTCTAACATGCGAGTCTCACAACGTAACGCTTGGCGCTTCTAGCGGAAAAATGCAAATTGGCACGATTAAAAACGATCCACTTTCAGTAATTTGAAGGCAAATTTTTCCATTTTTCGCCACATACGCAGAAAACGCAGTTTGAACTGGCGATTTTTGCAAAGGTTTTCGCCTTTCGCGGTTTCTTAGATAACCAAATCAGCAAGTGCATTCCGCGATGCCAACGGCCTTCTCAAGGTAATGCACTCGAAAAATAAAGGTCGAAACAGTCCAAGGAGGACGTTTTTCTTTGTCGCGACCAAATGGTTCTGTCAACCCAGCTTTTATAGCAAGCGCAAACTTTTACGAATGTGAGGATTTCGAAAAATTAAATCAGATCAGAGAAAAAGAGCCAGAACCAATGGAGTGTTTTGGTCAATTGTGGATTTTATTGGTTCAATTAAAAAGTTTGAAGGTTCTTGAATATTGTTTAAACAAAATCAGTATCGTTTCAGGCGAATTTTTGTTTTTTATTAAATAGTTTCTCACCCAGTTTGGCTAATACCAAAAAATTTGTGCTTGGGAATTTTTTTGATCGAGAAATGCATATTTCGTACGACTTAGCTTGAAGTGCCTAGCAGGCGCCAGCTGCAATAGGTTATACGTTTAAAACATCAGACCCTTTTTAGACTGAACTAAACGCAAAAAAACTCCTAAACTCGTCGATTTAACATATAAAAACTTGAAAAAAATCGCAAAGGTTTACGGTGTTGGTTAGCTAAAGAAATTTCCTTGACTTAAACCCGCAAGCAACGCCGCTGATTTTCAAGCCTTTTAATTTTTTTAATTCAAAGCATCATACTTAGTTGCGTGAATAGGTTATGAAGCTGTTTTGCACCGATGGTTTTTATGGTCTGGCGCGTTTTCCCTTCGCCTTATTAACCCAGAAGAAAAGCTAATCGCCTTCTTGGAAGTTATCGTTTTCCTTCACTTGCCTCGGCCAATTAGAGCAGTTTAAAGCAGCAAAATAATTTAATTTTCCCAAAGAGCCGAAGCAGCAACTTTCCTGTGGTTGTGTAGGGTATTGGAATAATCTGCCATTGATTAGAGTGCAGCCTATGTAGAGTCGAGAGACTAAGCGCCATCTGCTGATGAGTCGAGGGCCCAGGCAGGCTTAAACCTGATCAAACCACCTGAGATATGCCGATGATAGGATCATTATAGCGCAGGGTGGAAGTGGTACAAAATTCCAGCAAATCTAGGATCAAGTTTTTCAAAAAAGAAGCAGACAGAGCGGCGATTGCAAAGGGCTGGACGCCCTTTGCAGCAAGCAGCCCGAGTAATTGGGAATATTGATGAAAAGGCAGGGATTTTCGCTGAAAGATCGAGTTTCAAACTGAACGGACGTCTAAAATTAGCTTTTATATGTCAGGATGAAGCAGTATTTAAAAATTCGCGATAGCGCTGAGGGTTTTGATACATCTAAAAATAATATTTTCTAATTTTACACCACGGGATAATTATGTAATGCAATATTTTAGTCGTTTCGACGCAATCCAGAGGTATTCGCTTTCGTCCACGTTCGACCATAAACAAATTTGTTTGCTTCGTTTTTGCGCCCGCTATTTTTAAAAGCGTTGGTGCGCTCCTGGCTGGGGCCCGATTGGAGCCAATCGGGTTGCACTGAAACCAAGCAAGCAACCAATCAGGTACTCACTTTCTGGATGACCAAAGGGGTGCCAAAGTCCTTCCCGCCCTGCAATCGGAACCCCCAATTGGGCGAATCGCCTTTAGTTAATCGCACCGTCGACATGGAAGCCATTGGATGATGCACTTTATGTTGTTCCGTTCGGGGTTGTTTGTTCTCTCGGATTCGGTACCGACGCACAGCTTTGGCACAAACTTTCCGAAATTCTTTACGAGACGGAGTAAAGAGTAAAATGATGTTGTTCCGTTTGAAAAGTGAGTCGGCGCCCGGTTGCAAAGCGTCTCTTAACGAACCGAGCGTCCGAGTGGGGGCATCCGAACCGCGTGTGTATTAATAGAGTATCGAATAAATAAATTTGGTATTTCGGAATAGTCTGATTGCGAATTTGCGGCTAAGGTTCCGAAATGTGGGTCGTATGAGATGAATCATGCATTCATACTTTGATTCAACCGAAACGGACCCCCGTAATCCATCACTCGCATGCTACTCGCATCCGGCTCTACAGGCCAAAGGACTTTTACCTCCGTCCAAAGCATAGAAGAGGCTTCGGAAGCGCTCACCAGTCGTTTTCGACATTTGGTTCCTAATTGAAAATCCTGCAGTTCTGAAGAAAAAATCAGAAGTGTCGATGGCGCGGCGATTGCTTGGCACAAGTGAGTTTTTTCAGCTTTTAAGGAGTCATGGAAAATAATTTATTCCGAACGTTTCGCAAGTAGGAGTGGCTTGCATCTTCAGAGTCAGTAAACCCACATGTGACACACCCCTGATGATGCAATTCACTCGTGCTTGCAAAACATCGGGAACATTTTTTTTTTACGGCAACTTAAAAGCCCGAAAAACTTACCAGTTCAATATTTTGCAAAACGTTTTCAAACACACCAAATTTTTCGAAAAACGTTTTAAAAACCGAACATCACGGCAAATAGAATTGGTTTTGTGACATACTCGGATTTTACAAAAATCAAAGTTTGGGGCTCTAAAGATAAACCGGGCCATTAAACGTGTCTTACGCAGTTTACTGTTTCAGCAAATTCCGAATATCTCCCAACCTGATTGGAATTTCCAAAATTTTCTAACGTAATTATCTTCTGCATTAAATTGCGCAAATTTTCCGTTACTGAAGCTAGTCTGTATTGGTTACCGATTCTGAGTTTGCAGTTCTTGAAATAGACGATAAATGAAACTTCTTTTTGGGTATTTCGCCTAAAAAATTTTTGTCTTTAAAAAAGACAGAATTTCCTCACGTCTTTTACTACAGACTGATAAATAGGAGCACTATTTATCAATATGTAATAAAAGACGTGAGGAAATTCTGTCTTTTTTAAAGACAAAAATTTTTTTGGCGAAATACCCAAAAAGAAGTTTGTAAGGGAAGATGTACAAAGTATCTTCAACAATGGGCCAGTTGACCAATTCCATACAGAATAAAACAACGTTTTAAATATTTTTAAGTTCCGGGTACTTTTGGAGATGTGTGAAATTTTGTATTGGTGCTGTCAGTGCCATTGCATGTACAAAGTGAGTGAACTTCGGGCGCTGATATTTCGATATTCACTAGAGACATCAAGTAACTTTAGTTATGAAAAATTTGGGCAATTTCAAGCAGAACAAACTGAGATTATAATATTTGAAAAATTCGGGACTCTTTCGGGGTCACGTAAAAATTAGCTTTGCTTGTGCCGCCGCCATTGCATGTACAAGGTGAGGCAATTTCGATCACTGATATCTCAGAAATCGACAAACGATGCAAAGTAATTTTGCATACAAGAAATTTGCGTAATTTCATGTCGAACAAACCGAAGGTACACAATTTTTCTAGTTCACAGTACTTTCGCAGATATCTGAAATTTCCCATAGCTATTGCCATTGCGATTGCATGTTTAAAGTGGGTCAATTTCCAGCACTGATATCTTCAAACAGAAAAGATATAAACACTATCTTTGAAAATAGAAGGCTTTCAAAACTACAAGCTAAATAAAATGACGTTTTAACATTTTTAAAATCCGTAGCGCTTTTGGAGATATGTGAAATTTAACATTGGTGCTGCCAGTGCCATTGCATGTGCAAAGTGAATGAAGTTCGAGCGCTCATATTTCGGAATCAGTTAGAAATATAGAGTAGCTTTGATTATGAAAAATTTGCGCAAATTCAAGCAGAATAAGCTGAGATTTAGAAAGTTTGAAAATGTGGAGGACTTTAGGAGATATGCGAAATTTGCACTTGCAAGTGCCACCGCCATTGCATGTACAAAGAGAGTGAATTTCGAGCGCTGATGTTTGGGAACCGATTACAAATATAAAGTAGCTTTAATTATGATAAATTTGCGCAATTTAAAGATGAACAAAGTGAGATTGATAAATTTGGGAAATTTGGATGGCTTTAGGAAATACGCTAAATTTTCCATTTCTAGCGCTACTGTCATTGCATGTACAGGGTGAGGCAATTTCGAACACTGATATCTCAGAATCGATAAGAGATACGAAGGAACTTCGACCACAAAAAATTGCCTCAGTTTCATCTGGAATAAACTCGCAATATCAAACTTCGGCAGTTCTGGATGATTGCTGAGAAATGCAAAATTTGCTATTGTTGTTGCCAGTAATTCCAATGCGCCCGGTGGATTACTTTCAAAGGTTGATAACTCTAAACCAAAAAGCCATACAAAGCATTGAGAAATTTGCGCAATTTTATGCACTATCAGCTAAAGTTATAAAACTTTCCAAAATCGCAGTTTTTTGGGAGTTATTGGTAATTTACCATAGCTATTGCCATTACCAATGCGTGCACAAGATGGGTCAACTTTGAGGGCAAATACCTCAGAACTGATCAGATAGCCAAAGTAGTTTTAGGGTTGCGGAATTTGCGCAATTTCATCCGGAATAAAACGAGAGCGAAATGTTTTGAACAGTCGAAGCATTTCCGGAGATATGTGAAGTTAATCATAGGTGCATATGTGTATGGAAATTATGCGTCTTAATCGCACGTTGTTAGCCTTTGGATTAAGCAAACAAATTCATTTTTTGCCAATTTTTAAGAACCAGTTACTCAATTAATAAATTGGGGTTTTCTTTTTCAATAAATTCTTGCAAAGAAAGTGAAAATGTCTGAAGGACTAACGAACTAAGACTACAAACAACGAGAGAGAAGATTAAGAAATTAGAAAACTGAAACTAACTCTTTGATCCTCGTCGTATTCAAACTTTTGAATCTCAAATTCAACATTGAGCGCATTGCAAGCAGAACCCAAATCGACGCAAAACTACTCCTTATCTACAAATCTTCAAATGGTCAATAAATAGTATGGAAGCATGAATAAACAGTGAAAACATTAAAAAAGTTTACTTTTTTACGTACCAGAGAAGTATTGAAATTGGTGCCCACTTTGCTCAAACGACCAAAAACTGAAAATCACACCTTTTCCAAAAACCATAGTAAAGCAACTGTTTCCCATTGAGCAAAGGGGTAAAAAACAAGTCTATTTGAAGCTGCTGAAATACCCGATAGAAACCCAAAACAAATAAAAGGAAAAATGTAAACATGATACTCTTATGCAGCATTATTTATTCTCCTAAACAGACAATAGTATAAATATATACTCTCAATAATATATATAATAACAAAAACAAAACTTTGCTTATCAACATCGTAAGCAATTAACAATAAAAATAAAATATCGATATGTATGAAATCTAACAGCGAAAAAACTGCAATTTGCCGTTTTATTCAAACTGAGAATTTCGTCAATCCCGAAACACTCTTCAATTTCGGGGAATGAGCGCCGAAGCGTAAATCCAAAACTGTTTTATTGTCGGGTCTTATTGTAGCAAAAAGGCGAATATTTTGCCAAACATCTTGCAACACTAAGCTGCTTAATATCTTTAAAATGGTAAATTATTTAACTTTCCACACTCCACTAGTTGGCACATTTGTCCTATCACATTTAATTTTAATCACAACTATACCGAGCATGGACAACATTAAAATCAGGTCTGTAGTAGGTAGATGCTGATTTTCCTCTTTTTGTGTTTTCGAGAATACCTCCAGATAACTAATCCTAAGTGACTAAGAGTTTCCTTATCAATGAGCAAAACCTAACTTAAACAGCAACAATCTGCACAATAAAAAGAGTAAACTCGCCGAAAAATGACGATTTGTCTAGAGTAGATAAATACAAATGTAATACTTAATAGTAAATATTTGAATATTTTGTGTATATTGTATAATACTTATTATTGTCACTATCACGAAAGTGCCTTTCAGCCCACTTTTCCCAGAAATTCTTTGATAGAACCAAGCGGAATAAATGCCGCTGTAGAAACTTAAACTCAATTAGAAA